TCGAGGATATTTGTCGCGGTTTCGGGTCTCGCCAATAATTCGCCCATGGGCCTACTTTCTCTATTATTCTCTGAATCCAGAATGGGATTGGGGTACTCCTTCAGGTTGGATTGAGTCCCGAATTTGCTTTCTTGAAAGCGTTCCTTGTATGTTGTTCTTTGGTTTTTGTACTTCGTTGTTAAGTCACCAAAAGTTCGCCTCCGTTGGGCTTTGTGCTTTTGTTTTTTGGCAGATTCACTTTGAAGGAAGGAAGAGGTCGATCGTTGTCCGACGGGACCAGAACGACGGCCTGGACATTCCTTCGGGCGGTTGTTGGGTGTCGATCTACTTGCTAAACAATTCTTGCCTCCTGAACAGCTTTTGAGGCCTTGGATGAAACAACATGGTTTGACCGATAAAGTCGTTCGACTTGCAGCTTGAATTGGTAGCTCCCGTTTCACGCTTTTTTGATTGGTTTAGTTTGACATTTTCGTTTGGACCAAGGGCAAGCTGACGCTGTCATTGACGCATTCCACGCCAAAAAAATGTCTGCAAGGCAGGGCAGACTCGAATGTGACTGCCTGTCCGTGTCTGCTCACTTTGAACTTGCGGTCGAATTTTTCAGGCTAACGGCCCACAGATCCTTCAACCTTGAATCAGCTCCTTACACCAGATGGAAAAACACGAGTCGGAGGCAGAAAGGAGTTGTTCCCAGGGTTCTTACCCTTTCACTGCTACTACTGCGAATGATCCTTGCAGCTTCCGCTTCCTTTTCCGTTATCCATCTGGTATCCTCTTGAAATGAAGTGTGTCAGATGAGTTTGATGGAAGTATAGCTAGAGAACTACAAAGGCTGATTTCGCATTATGGTTCAGGAGCTTGCCAATGCAGCATAACAAAGCCCTTGCGTGCGACTCGATTCGTTTCAAACCCCGAGAACATTGACATGCAATGCTCTGGTTCGCGGTGGGCTGTATTTCTATTGCGCTGAACGCTGTCCTTATGCAGCAGCTGATTTCCAGAGGAGTCAGGTGTGATCCTTGGCGGAATCCCGACGAAACAGGGTGGCCTGAAAGCTCGCTGGCGAGTGAGATTGCCGAGCTGGCTGCTCGCGAGATTACAGAGTTGGGGCAGCTGTTTTTCCGCCAAAAAGTCAGTGAGTTGTTGATGGAAAAAGCAGTGCAAGAAGAGATGGGTTTTACCAGCCAAGATTCGAAGAAGGAACACCCTCTGGTAGGCTTGGCAGTAGAGCTGCTTAGTGTGGTGATCCAGCCAGAGGAGGTTGTGAACGAGCGTTTGAGTCCTTCTACTGTGAAACGCTTGAAGGAACGCGTTGATGAGCATGGCGCGGTTGTCATCAAAGGCCTCCACCAACCGATGGAATGTCGCTTGGCAGCCGAGTTTGTTCATGCAGAGATCTTGTCGCCGTGGGCAACCTTCAGCAACATACGGGACAACAAGTATCGCAAGGATTATGCCCTGCCGATGAGGGGATCTGCGTTGGAGTTGTTGAACAAGACGTTGGCAATTTTGGACCCCCTGTTCACAGCGACTTTAGGCCCGAACTCAAGCTTGGTGGAGTTCTCATCCTTGACAACCTATTCTGGTGCAGGCCCCCAGATATTTCATTCGGATTCAAGTGCCGCCTCAATAAAGGAGCTGCGTTCTTTGGGTCGCATGTTCTCCGCATTCATTTACCTTGATGATGTCCGACCCGATTCGGCTCCACTAGATGTCGTGCCAGGCACGCACACGCATTATCAGTTTTTGGACGATGAAGAAAAGGATTTGATGACCAGCGTGCCCTTTGCACGTTTAGCTGTACCACAAGGGACAGTTGTGATTTACGATTCGCGTACCTTGCACCGTGGAGCGGCGAACACATCCCCGTATGCACGACCAACGATTTACTTCTCTCTCGCTGAGCGGGGCAAGTTTATTCCCATCGGCCCTGCGTATTCGCTTCGCGAGGGATATCGGCGCTTCCCGATTTCGATTCAGAACATCAGGACGAACACAATACCTACGGAAGTATTGGCAGAGGGGGTGAGTGTTCACAGTGATGAGAAGTGCAAAGATCAGCTGCAGCATCTCTGCCCGGTTGACAGCTTTCAGGGAGATCCTGATCGTCGCTTCGATTGCGCCTGGTATTATTTTACTGGCGAGGGGGAGTCGCATGACGCCCGACGCCTCAGCAAGTCGCAGCCCCTCGAGTTTACAGACCGACCTGGCGTGAAGGAGGGTTACGAGGAGCGACGTGCATGCATAGGCATCTCAACATGCAGCATGACAACGGCGGTATTCATGTTGTGGCCGGAGAATATCGAGCAGGTGAGTCTGGGGCTTTCATGTCTTATGTAGGAGATCTCGCTCCGAGGATCGAGCTGTGTCGGATTTGCGACTGTGATATAGTAGCTATTATGATATATTAACATAGTAACTAGCAACTAACATGGACATATCAGCTAGTATAGTGTTTCCAGGACAGTGACGAGGATGAGCTCGCAGCTGACAGGGAGAAGCTCCGAGATCAGGAGGGGAAGTTTGATTTCGAGGCAGGCTTCTGGAAATGTAAGGGTTTGGGGTTTCGGGTTTGAGAATTCTGCCGGGGCGGTGGTGTATCGTGTAAACAATACTTCGTAGTTTACTTTCCCACTGCGATTACACCCATATCTGTAGCTTTCCTTGTGTGTAGCTTCGGTCTTCCTTCGAACTTGTCATACAACGCCTGAGCTCCTCCACCGAAGAACTCTGCGCTCCGAAACCCTTGAAAGCCACAACCCTGTACTCGTTCCGTCAGGACTACAAAAAAGCCCCTCTGGAAGCCATTCAAATTCCAAAAGCCTGAAACCAAAATACACCCGACTGCACCATAATCTTTTCTGGGCCCTCAAATCCTAAAGCCCCGAAGAAGCACATACTGTCCCTCTTCCTAAGGCCTAGAGCTTTGATGCTAAACCCAAACTCCCAAGATAGAAACCAAACCCTAAACCCTAAACCCTAAACCCTAAACCCAAACTCCCAAGATAGAAACCCTAACCCTAAACTCCCCAAGCCACACAGCCGGAGCCCCTAAAGACATCCTTTTCCATTCCGTAGGCTGCCCTGGCTATGACGCTGCGAAGGGGCGGGGCCTATCGTCCCGGGCCCGAAGATTGAGGAATCTTGCAGTTCTTGTTCTTTTCTGCAGTTATTTTTCAGGGTTTAGGGTTTAGGGGGAGTTAAAAAGTTAAAAGGAGTTGTTGAACGTCATTTTCTGGCTTAGGGCTTTCGGCCAAGATGGGGCGTTGGTGCACATTTTGGGGGTTGTCGGGTGTTGAATGCGAGGTCTCGGTGTCTGCAGTCTTCGGGGAAAGTTCCCTGCATTCGGGGGCTCTAGAGTTGTGGGGTTTAGGGTTTTAGGTGAGCCTGTCCAAGCTTTGTAGAAGGCTTGTGACAATAGCGAGCCCCGAAACGTTAAACGCCTTAGGCCTTGAACCCAAGCTCAACATTTGCACCAAAATCAAAAAAACCCGATTCAGAAGATACCAAAACCCAAAGCCCTAAACCCAAAACCCAACACCCTAAACCTTACACAAACGTTACGACCGTTACGACTAGTCTCCTTCCCACTGGACCGACGAATCATGAACTGCGGGGTGGCGAGCCGCCCCCTGTCGCTGCAAAAGTTGCAGAATCCCTGGTTTAAAAAAGTTAAGGATTTAGGGTTTAGGGTTTAGGAGTGATTAGGGTTTAGGGTTCCCTTTTAGCGAGTTTTGTAGACTTCGGAGTATAAGATTTGGGTCGTGACGGGGCCTTGAGGGCTTGGAATAGGAGTTGGTAGTTGAAGGTAAACCCTAAATTCCGAACCCCAAACACTAAACCCTAAACACTAAACCCTAAACCCCAAACCCTAAATCCCGAACCCCAAACCCTAAACCCTAAACCCTGGCTTTGGAGCGCAATCTTGAAAGTTTGGGCTCTTGAGTTCGAAACTTCAGCAGATCTGCCATCAAAATTGAATCGAAGGGTTTTTCTGGGGTTATAGGGTTTTAGGGTTTAGGGTTAAAGGTTTGGGGGTTTAACTAGGGTTTAGGGCTTCAGAGGTTTAAGAACAAGGGGTTTAGGGTTTTGGGGTTTAAGGAAGAAGGGGTTTAGGATTTTGGGGTTTCAGGAATAAGGCGTTTAGGGTTCAGGGTTTAAGAAAGGATTTCTTGCTGGGCTATCTTCGGTTTAAGGTTGATAAGTTGGGACGTCAAAGGCTCCTTCGTGAGTGTTCAGTCCAGTAGTGGATTGTGACAGGATTATGTGGGTAGTTGTCTAAATTGGGGTCCCTCTCTAGGTCCCCAATATAGTACGGCACCCTTATAAAGAGGACCCCCAAAAGGGACCCTAATTTAGAGAACTACCCATGTATTGTCGTTGGACCGATGGTCTTGGTACGTGTTTTCATGCCCGGAACCGAGTCCTCTTTTGCTCTTGTTACGTTCCCTCGCGCCCCGGTTCATTTTCGTGGAGCCCGCCAGATGCTAGTCAGAACTGGTCACAAGCATCTAACCAACCTCGTCTTAAGCATTGACTGCCTTCAGTCATCGGAACCCCAAACCCGAAGCCGCGTACTTTCCCATCGCCGAGCACTACCGGCATGATTTTGGCTATCTGTTGGCTTTTGAGACACTTGGGTCCTAAAGCACGAACTTTTCAACAAAATCCTGCAGCTGTCTCAGCCCAAAGCCTTACACCCTAAGCCCCAAATCTCGACACCCTAAACCCAAAACCCTAAACCCTCAACCCTAATCCCGAAGCCCTAAGCCCCCAGCCTTAGGCATGGAGATGATCCTTGAGAGGGGCATCTTTGCCGAAGGCTTCGTTGCCAATGTCAGCTGGGGAGCGCTTCAGCCTCCACCCTCAAGGACGCTGGGGGGTTTTGCAGCAGATGTTGAGGGTTTGTGGGGATTTGGGGTTTAGGGTTTAGGGGGTGGGGTTTGGGGTTGTCTCGTGACGAGCTTCGTGGGATTCAGGCCCAGTCAACATCGGGCTGAAGTTGAAGCTTGCGTCGGGGTTGCCAACCCCTTCACCCCCGGCTTCGGGCCCCCTAAAGACATCCTAAACCTCTTGACTGAGCCTAACCGCCTGAATCCAGCACACCCTGCGATAGCCAAACCCAGAGCCCTAAACCCTAAACCCTAAAAACCCTAAAACCCTAAGCCCTAAACCCTAAACCCTACACTCTAAACCCAGAGCCCTAAACCCCGAACCCGAAAGACAGAGCTTGACGTACAAGGGCTGGAATTCGAGCTCTAACTTCAGTTTGAAGGCCAGTTTTTAGGGTTGAGGGCTTAGGGTTTAGGTTTAGGGTTTAGGGTTTCGGTGTCAAGGCTTTGTAGTTTAGGTTGGGTTCTGGGAAACCTCTCGACGGGTCGATACACCCTCGAGTCCGGCAGAGTGCCACTGCCTTTGTAGTCGAACTAGAGCAATGCAGACTTCCAACTCAACACCGAGCCTCAAAGGTTTCAGCGTCTTTGGGGGGAAACCCTCCTAAACCCTAAGCCCCAAGCCCCAAACCCTAAATCGCACACCCTAAACCCTACACTGTACGCCCCCGGAGTCGAGGACGTCAGGGGCAACCTAAGCCGCTGCGCTTGGCTGCTGGCAAAATTGTGCTTAGCCTGGGGGATCGGGGAAAGAACCTGTAGGTTTCTTAAGATTGAGGGCTGTTTTGATGGATCTTCTGATTTTCGTGGTTTCTTACAAGGTTAACTACGGTACCACTTTTTCTTTCGCAATCTCCTATCTGCGTTCAGAGCGGCGAAGCTGCAGGGATGTTTGTGAAATCCCAGAGCGGGATGATGAAGGACTGTTGATTCTTTCCGAGATGGAGGGTTTGGCAGAGGGTTTTGTGGCTTGACATTCTGGTGTGTAGGAGGTTAACTTGTCGAATTCCTGGGTTTAGTAATTTAGAGATCTCCAGGTTGCGGTCCTTCCTAGGCCTCAGCTGCTATGGTCTCTTCGTGGCGCTACCCTGATCAACCTCCCTCGGACCCTGAATCCTGAGCCCTGCGCTGCGCACCCTGCACCCTCCACCGGAAATCTTGAACCCCAGCCCTAGACCCGGAACCCTAAACCCTTCTGAAGCCCAGAACTCCCTAAATCCTAAGCCGTGCACCTCGAATCCCATATCCCCTTCTTAACTTCTGTGTTTTGTGGGATGTTATGGCCAGACACCTCGAGAGTAAGATTACCAGGCAATGTCCCGTGCATCATCGTTCCTCGGGAGGCTCCTCTCCACATTATAGTTATTGTCAACCCCTGATTCATGAACTCCTCGCCGTTAGTAAGGACAATGGTATGGATCCCGGTATTAGGGCAGCTAACATAACATAACATAACATAATATGATATAACATGATACAATTATAGAATAGAATAGAATGAAAAGGGGTTTGCTAACCAGGGATCTCCGCTACAGAATTACAGTCCGTCTTCATCATCACTGCCTGCACAGAGATTGTCACAAATGTGCCTGAGTGCACCCGTCAGAACGACGACGCGTAAGCGGCACACAGTGGCACGTATCTCCTTCACTAATGTCACTCTTCCTCCAAAGTCCATTGCCCCACCGCAACCCATACGATCAAGAATTCGAGCTAAAGGCAGCACGATTCAGATTTTAAATGCTAGTTTGGAGAGATGCCCGTGAAAAGGTATGAGTGCAAGATATGCAACAGCAGTAAGTAGTAGCCCTAAGGACAACTCATTCTTGCAGCTTCTGCGTTCATCTGCATTCCTTCTTTTCATTCAAGCTTCAGCGCTAAACCCTAAAACCCCTAAACCCTTAGCC